AGCTAGTAAATTAAACGCAATAATATTCGTAGAAGAGTAAACTGTTAGATTAGCAGTATAAGAAGCAAAATTATTACGTTTAAAATTAAGATAACACATGTGTACACATATACGAATGGCTTTATTTAAATATTATTATTTACACAAAAGATTACATTAACGTAAGTCCTTTTTAATGTAGGGCAGTAAGCAGAGATTTTCATGACAGAGCACCGAAAATACAGAGCTAAAAACGAAACATCAATCTTTTTTACAATGGCGGCACTGAGAAGCAAATAACATTACCGCAAAAGAGCGTCTACCAGCATAAAACAATCTTAATTTTATTCCAGTCGCTAACTACTCTCGAATTTTAATCCACCAACTAAAGAGAAATGAAACTGCTAAAATTATTAAAGTGGTATTATTTCATTTTTATATCTGTTGCTGTCGGCTCAAATAATTTTTGCAAGTCGTGATATTAACCATGCTCTCTTAATATACTCGTAACATTATTTCATAATTACTTAAGGAATATTTTTTTAGATTATTATTTGTAACTTGTTTCTTGGAGATGGCTTGTGTTTATGTTCATTTTTCACTTTAAATTTCAATTTAAATAAATGCGACTTTTAATACTACTAAATTAGTATATGATCGTTCCCGATTGACTTGTAAATTTAAAGCTTGCCTTGAAGTGATAGCCTCGCTCGATGGTTTTGTAGAATATGGAAAAATAGTTACAGTTCTTTAGAAAAAACAATAATTACAGTAATAACACTTATTTTATAGATTTAAGTATAGTAAGTAACTATATATTTTACGGTAAACTTTAGGTATTACGAGATCTGATACTCGAGTGGCAATGGGCCGACCGTATAACTCGTAGAACCGACAAACGATGGGGAAGAAAGTTTTTCGAGTGGCAACCTCGTACCGGTGAGCAGTGGTAGGGCGACCCCACAGTAGATGGAGTGACAACCGGATAAGACATGCAGGAAGTCGATTGACGCAGGTGACTCAGTTACAGCCTATTAAAGTCCACTGCTGAACATAGGCCATTTGACATAGTTGCAACACTTGGCAAGCGGGTTGGCAAACGCTGTTTTTTATTATTAGTTGTTATTAAAAAATATATGTTGCTGTCCTTAAGGTAAATCTATTTCCAGCGGTGGACTTAAGAAGGGCTTTAATGATGATGATGTTACGAAAAATAAAACTCTAATTGTTTAAAAAAAATTCAAATTTATTGTAATATAATGATAATAAATGAGTGTAGAGAACCGTAGATCCTTTTTACTGGAAACGAGGCATTCCATCTTAGTCCTCACGGGTGACAACGCATCTGCATTTTGATTCATAATCGAGGATAAATGTAGATGTCTATGGGCCACAGCAACCACTTACCATCAGGTGGACTGTGTGCTCGTTTGTCACCCTGATCCTATAAAAAATATATATATGGTCTTTGATGATTATCTTCAATGTAAATAACTCTACATTAACAGATCCCATCCAGGCGAAGCCGGGGTGGGTTGTTAGTGAATAATAAAATATTTAGTTTAAATTTTCATAATATCTCATGAATATTTATTTTAATCAAATTGTATTCAAAATAGAATTTAGCCGTTTATCAAGTCATAACGAACTGACAAAATAATCTCTGTTTTGACAACTCTTAAAACCAGACAGTTTATACAAACAAATATTCCAATGCTTGTATGAAATAATAACGCGTATAAAATATACTCAATGATAAATTTAAGTAGCTTTAGTGATACCATTTATAATAACAATTAGGCTCTCCGTATCATTACTGGGGTTCTCGGATGAGAATCAAAATGCAGTAAAAAGGCTCCGGTTCTCTACACTCACCATACGAAACACAGCAATATTAAGCTGATATTTTGCACTGATATTCTATGACTGTGGTCAATCTCTGGATGAGCCGTTCATGCTAGTGTCACCTACATGCGTTGTATTTGTGAACAGGTGCTTCTTCTTCATCTTCTTATAAGCATGTCATAAAACATGCTTCAGTTAGGAATGGATCTACGAGTGAATTATCTTTAATTTTTTATGAACTTTGTTGGTTACAGCCTATTGAAGATCACTTCTGAACATAGGCCTCTCCCGTAGATTGCCTCATAGGGGGAATATTTGCCATAGTTGCCACACGTGGCAAGCGGGTTGTCAAACGCAGTTTTTGGAACGAAGTTCCTTATCGCACGGCACGAATTTGACGGATGGGGGGCTAGGCAAGAAAAAGTGTAAGATTTTTCCGTCACGATCCCCTTTCTATATTGCGAGCTAGATGGAATAATATCCATCTCCCTCGCAATTTTTCTTATCTTGCCATGAAAGAAATATTATTTTATTTTAAATGAAACTTCATTATAATAGACGCTAGTAATTCATTTATTTGTATTTGTTAATCAATAACATAATACGTTTATCAATAATAGTATACTACGAGTGGAACTTCGTTCCAACAGAGTGTTCCACGACACTCATGCTTGTTTTATTTTTTATTTTAAGTTGTTATTAGGAATACGTTGGTATTTCATAGGTGGCAATGAGGCAAATGAGAGTATTCACTTACCATCAGGTGGACTATGTGATTGTTTGTTACGCTTAATTCTATAAAAAGTTTTCTGAACAAATGACCCATAATATGTTAACTAGAGATCAGAGTAACTGAATAAGTTATACGCCTTAATTCATTCGCTAAGACTTCATCTATCAATCAGTAGGGTAAATTATCTACAAAAAACATTAGGAGAAAGTTGGCATATTTCCTTTTATATCTCCAGGCTAAATGAGTCAAGATATTTTTTCGAATAAGCCTTTTGAAATTGAATTTCTCTCTCAGCGAACGCTTGGAGTAAACTTGGAGCGGCCAGTTGAGCATTGTTCAGTTCAAATGCAAATTGATCGCTTTGCATATTAATTTAAACTGAGAAAACTTCATTTAATTAAGAAAACAGGAAGTTGTGTATGTAATTACAAACGAAAAAGTTTATTGTACGATATACGACGCTAGTTATTAGTTCATGTTTAAGCAACCTTAACAAAAATAATGCCGCTTTTATCCGTGGTAGAACCACGCTCCAGCTATATTATAGTTACGGCACGGATGGGTCGGCTCGACCGGGGAATGGTCATTGTTGCATTGTTTTATATGGTGAAAGCAGAGAGCCAGAGACCTTTTCAAATGTAATTAGATATTCTATCTTAGTCTTCAGAAGTTAACAACGTAACTTCACTAGATTCTTAATTGAGAATATTTAAAGATGTCGGGCCACATCGTCCACTTACCATCGGTTGACTGTGAATTCGTTTGTCTCCCTCATACTATTGTGGCGATCGGACAAATGCAAACGACTGTCTCATTGTAATATCTCTTTATTACTGCTCAATTAACCTTGGTGTACATGTATTTATTACACTACTGGTAGGAACAACGCACATACCACTACACTATAAAAAAACCGTCCAACCCATAATACAACTCCAGGATGACTCTATAACCTTACATTTAAATTTCTAATAAAATAAATATATAAATATTTACTATTGCACATCATGGTAACGTAAGCTGGTAGTTCAGATATTCCCGTCGCCTTTTCAAAAAGCCTCTTAAGGATATAAGATCTCTCTGATTGGCGCGGTGTACAAAAGTGGGATTAAAAGCCGGCAAATCTTCGAAAGTAATGGTAGAGAATGCCACAAGGCATTTAGTCCGCCCTTTGTATTCTTTTAGATTAAGGAATGCAATAAAGAATAAATAAATAAATAGATATACTTCTGCATTCGTCAAGTTGTGCACAATAATAATAGCCAAAGATTCGACAAGTACTTAATCATTCGTGTCTGCTATTTTCCCTTTTAGATTTTTAACCCACGACGAAAACAAGGGTTTGATAAGTTTGTAGTGCGTATCTGTGTGTCTGTCTGTGGCATCATAGCTCCTGAACGGATGAACCGATTTTGGTTAAGTTTTTTTTTCGTTCGGTGTTAATCGAGAGTGTACATAGCTAAGAATGTTTCAAGAAAATCTGTTCCGCCGTTTGAAGATTATTATTTTTTATTAATTAACAACGTTACCCCACTCTAGAGGAGAAAATTTTTCACTATGACAAACTATTTTCTGGTTTAAACAGTATTAAATCAACACCGCATCACTGGCCATCTAAAAATAACTGACCGGAAGCGATCACATCGGGTCCTTAATTAAGTGTAAAAATAGAGTTCCGAAGTAAATTAAGCGCCGCACTAAACCAGACTGAGGGTAGTTGATTAACTCGTTGCAGATTAATCTTATCAGGGATTAGCTTGTCTTTCACGGACGAGTAAGTCAATCTAAATCAAGAGAGTTGTAACTGTAGCAGAAAGGTTTCTGTACGTCGCAACGTTTGAAAATTGACGATGAAAACGATTAGGTATTTATTATACTATCGTGGGCAAAAATAGTAAAACTTTTTAATTTAAATTTCGCGCGCAAAACCATTCGTCGAAATTTTCTTTTTCTACGTTGGTATGACTATCATCGGTGCCAAATATCACATCAAAGTAATCATTAGTGTTTAGTATACGCTTGTCTTTCTGAAGTACAAAAAGTGCATTCGGCGATTTTTACAATGAGTGAAATTATTCAACAAAGAAGTTCCATTAAATTTAGTGTGCGGAATCAAAATTCTGGTGCTAAAACGTTCAGAATGTTGCAAAATGCCTTCGGTGATAATTGTATGTCGCAAGCAAGTGTTTTTGATTGGTACAAATGATTCAGAGTGTCGAGAACGTGATCAACTGATGATCAACACGTCAATAAAATCAAGGAATTGGTGCTCGAGAATCGACGATTAATAGTCAGAGACCTTACTGATATCGTTGGAATATCGGAAGGATCAATGAAAACCATTTTAAAAGATCGTTTGGGCTTAAGAAAAGTGAATGCACGATTGGTTCCAAAATCACAAAATTTTCTTGAAAAGCAGCTTCGCGTTGACGTCTGTGAAACAATGCTTTCCGACTACCAGGATGTCATGAAACGTATTATAACTGGCGACGAGTCTTGGATCTACGCTTACGACCCGGAAACAGACGATCAATCGGCCGAATATCGTGCCAAAGGTGAGCCGAAGCCGAAAAAACCACGTCAAAGCAAGTCAAAAATCAAGGTCATGTTGACAGTTTTCTTTGATCATCGAGGTGTGGTGCAGTCCGAATTCCTTCAGACTGGCCAAGCTGTCAACAAGGAATACTATTTGAGTGTTATGCGTCGTTTGAGTGAAGCTATTCGTAAAAAGAGGCCGGAATTATGGGCCGACAACTTTTGGTTTTTGCACCACGATAATGCACCGTCGCATACTGCATTGATTCTTCGTGAGTTTTTCGCCAAAAATTCAACCAATATCGTTCCACAAGCACCGTATTCGCCCGATTTAGCTCCGTGCGACTTCTGGCTGTTCAGGAAACTCAAGCGACCGCTCCGGGGAAACCGTTTTGAGTCAATTGGAGACATTAAACGTGAATCGCTACGCGCACTGAAGGCTATTCCGGAAACTGACTTTAACAACTGTTAGGAGGATTGGAAAAAACGTTGGCATAAGTGTATTGCGGGAGGGGGGGATTACTTTGAGGGGGACGAAATAGATTTGGCAAAATAAATAAAGAATTTTAAAATTATGAACAAGTCTTAATATTTTTATGCCCACAGTATTATATTACGACGATTATAAACAGCGCCTCCTCTCAGAAGAACACCATTATTTAAATTTTTTCACTTACTAGCTCCTTTCAATTTAAACACAACGGAGTCACAAGAAATTTAATTCAGCTAAACTAATCTTTTAAGCCGTAGTTTGGGTTCCCACAATGGAGTTAATTACAACTTTAACATTCATAAGCGGCCAGTCTTGCGATTTGCATCGCCCTTTACGTAAAATGACCCTTCGTGATTTTAATTTCAAATCGAAATATGCCTTCTCCAGTGTGGATAGCTCCCGCTTTTGATGTCGCATGTCGGTGCATTGATGCAGCGAACTGGGCTGATTATAATATCTTTTGTTGTTAACAATGATGACGTTCTATTTTTAAAAAATCCTACAGTTACTGGCTGCTTTAATTTCGATGATTAAAAAAAATATGTTCAACGTCGATGCTTAATTCAAACCGTTATACAAACCTATTGTTTTAATTTTTGAGCTGTGCCCATTACGTAATAAATTAATAACCTCAACACAAATATTTGGAAATACTAGATGCTAGGATTACTTTTCTGAATAGGAGTTTGTATGAGTAGGAACCACCGTCTTACCTACTTCTGTCGCCCAATAGCAAAGCTTGTATTGCTGTGGTTCGGTCTGAATGGCATAAAGTAAACAATTACACTGTGAGGCATTCTATCGTGGTTTTCAGGGATGACAGCGCATATGTGGACTTTTTGTACGTATTTGGCTTCAGGTCACCATGGACCGCAGTAGACACTTACAAGCAGGTGAACTGTAAGTTAGTTGTTACTGTAGTAGTTAGTTGTACTGTAACTGTAAGTTAGTTGCGCACAGAAAATCAGCCAAGCTGATTTGATACGAATAAATTGTTTAAATTTGATATAGCGAGCTAATTAGATTAGTTCAAAATAAACTCCTTCGCCCCCCCCCCCCCCCCCCCGTGACCTCGGGTTCTATAAAACGCTCGAAATGACAGGAATGTAAAAACAAGCTTTGATTAAATTTTCAAAGGTAAAAAGCAATGCTTAATGAAGTTAAATTGTGTTATTAATACAACCTTTGGCCTCTGACATGTTCATTAATTAAATACTTATCAGGGGGATTGGTGGGTGCTCTAATTTATTACGCGCTTATCAACTTGTTTCGCTTTTATAAGGGTCTTTCTGTTCAATAAAAGTATATTAAATTGATACAAGAATATTTTAGTTAAAATTAAAATCGGACAGCGGAACGCTAATACTGACCACGACTGTAACCTAAAATATACAGTGTAAATTTATCAACAATTCAGGACATACAGTGTGGCCGGTCAGGGACTAGCGATATTCTAGGTATTTATATTACAACTGTTTTAATACACAAACACATTACACAGTGAGGTCTAATCTCCTTGCTCTTTGTGGCAACAATTTTTTTTTTTCTAGAGATATTCTCTACGTATGTACGAAAAAATCACAACATTCAAAATTTTGATGTTACTCGTCTTATTTATCGTTTACATTACGAAAAAAAAGTAAATTAGGTACTGCAAAAACAACCCCGATTACCCTATTTATTTATTTACTAGATCGACAGATTTTGAGCTAAGCAACAATAAAATATTAAGTTTACAGCTGTATGCCTATTACTTTAAGAATGTACATACCGTATGCGCAAGCACAAAGGTCCTTTTTCGAAATCCTAAAGAGCAAAACACTCAACTTCCTTATTAGTATTTATTTAATTGTTTTACAATACTACAATTAGAATATCTAAAGCAGTTGCTCAATGTGGTCACCTCCAGCTTGTAGACAAGCTAAAGCTCTATGTACCATCTGAGCTGATGAGCGCCTAATCATTTGCAAATCAGATCTTATTTCTTCGGCGTTTGAACCTGTGACATATACCCTTTGTTACATATGACCCCCACAAAAAATAATCCAAGGGATCAAATCGGGTGAGCGAGGTGGCCACGCTACTAAACTTCCGCGACCGATTCACGGGGAGTGATCACTGCTCGAGAAAAGTGCGCAAGTGAACCATCAAGCTGAACCCATAAAAGTTGACGGTATAACAAAAGCTCCGTGAAGCTATCAGCAAAACTGTGTCTCCAGAAACTCCAGAAATCTAGCGCCATTTAATGTAGAAGGCAATTCTAATAGCCCTATCAAACGATCGTTGATTATGCCTTGCCATACATTCACCGAAAATTCGTGTTGAAACTAACTTGGACGCACCGCTTGTAGGTTTACAGAGCACCAGAAATAATCATTTCTGTGATTTGTAATGTCAGCTCTTGTGAATTTTGCTACGTCAGTCCATAGTATTTTTTTTTTGTAGAAATTGACGGTTCAAAATACAGACCCTGTAGCAAAATCTGTTCCGAGAATTGAATTTGAATTTGAACTTACAAAATACTACTACCACTTCACTTTGTGATGTCGGCAGTCTATGAGACCATGACAGCGCCAATTCCCAAAGCTCTTGAAACTGCGAGAGTTAAAAAAAGTAGAGTCAAAGATATTAAAATCTGTAAAAATAATTTTAATCAATGTGTAATATTCACGTAAATATAAGAAATTATTTAAAAAATTGTGCTCCTGAAAGAGCAAGTCGTGTTCAATAGTAAACGTGACGCCATTAACAAAAACAGAGCCTTACTGCGCTCAACTGAGGATGTACCCTTAGTACCAGATGAACAGAGGAAGATGAACAAATATTCTCTACTCGTTTGTACAAAAGATAATGAAAATAATGTTGTACGTGGCATTCCATGTTGCAGCTATATTATGGCTGCATCGAGAATGCAAAACAACAGTGTCAACGTGAAATAGCAGTACCTATAATGCTGCCGTGTTTGGTATGGTTGCGACGTAAACCAGACTCGAGAATTGGTACATTCTATTTTAACACTAGTGTGAAAGGTAATCTGTTTTTTGTGACATTTAATATTTGTGTTTGTTCTCAATCAAAGATAGATGGAGAGTTTTGGCGGGAACTTGACTGGTGACGGTTTGCTGCCTGTATTATTGTTTAAATAATGGTTTGAAGTGGATTTTGATATGTACAAGTGGTGCGATTTAGTGTATTAAATGTCTGCGCATGTGAAATATTAGTGGAAACTGTGAAACAAGTGCTCTGATAGGGATGTGAATCTCAAGATAAAGTGTCTGTCTGCTTAGGTGCCGTAAGATACTATCGCCAACTGTCTGCTGGCTCAAGTTGCCGTCAAAATCTCCCAAAAACTACGCAATGTGACGCATTAACATATTGTGAAACAGTGTACTATAAAGTATCATTATCCCTTGAAACTGATATAAATGAAGACATGGCTTAAAGGACAAGCATCCAAGCCAAACATCTTAATAAAAAAAGAAGATAGCCGGAGGTATCAAATTATCTCTAAAATACATGAATAACTCCTAATGTGGGGTAACGTTTAAATGAATATTTTAATGTTTTCTGTATTTTTGTACCGTAAAGTAGCGCTGTAAGAATATCCACTACCCCAGATCATCCCGTGGGTGTCATAAAGAGGCGACATAGGGAAACAAATCATGAGATTGGCAGCAGTGTTTTCCTAATAACAACTAAAAATAAAATAATCGGCCAAGTGCAAGTCGGACTCGCGCATGAAGGGTTCCGTACCATCGTAAAACAATTTTTATGTTTATTATTTGTTGTTATAGCGGCAACAGAAATACACATTCTGTGAAAATTTCAACTGTCTACCTACTACGGATCATGAGATACAGCCCGCTGACAGACATACGGACGGACGGACGGACAGCGGAGGCTTAGTAATAGGGTCCCGTTGGTTACTCTTCAGGTACGGAACCCTAAAAAGTCATCTATTATCGTCCCTCATACTACGAAATCTTCTTTATACTGGGAGAGGCCCAAGTCCAGCTGAGAACTTTTACAGGGTGATGATGACGAAGAAGATTTATTGTTACTTACGTTGTTATAATATTGGTAACCTTACGTGTTTGTCAGCTTGGTTGCCCTTTGGGTACGAAACACTAAAAACTGCAGTTTCCAACCCGCTTGCCAAGCGTGGCAACTATGGCAAATATCCCCTGTATGAGACAATCTATGGGAGAGGCCTATGTTCAGCAATGCACTTTAGTAGGACTTCAATAGGCTGTAAATAATCAACTGTATCGCTTTCATCTTATGTACATAGGTAAGTCGTGCATAACTGTAATTGACTAATGTCCAAATACTCAAGCGCTGCTCAATTTCAAGACGTTGTTAAGTCTCTAGCATATTAGGTAGAGCCATGCTGCAGCTATTTATTTATTTATTTATTTACTTTTTTGAACCTTATAAAATATATAAGTACAAAAGGCGGACATAATGCTTAAAGCATTCTCTGCCTGTCAACCTTGAGGAGTGGAAAAACATCGAAGGCGGTTATTATAATACATAACAGTAAAGAATAAGAAATATAATGAATTTAGAAATTATAGCATATATATATATTATTGGTATAGTTGTTGCACGAATGGGTCGGGTCGACCGGGGAAGGACCACGCTCTCACAGAATACCAGCGTAAAATAGCAGCTTAACACGGCTGTGTTTCGTATGGTTAGTGTAGAGAACCGGAGACCATTTTTACTATAAACGAGGCATTCCATCCATAAGTAAAATAAAGTTTTCTTTTTGCCACAAAAATATAATGTAAAAATTTAAATTGACAGCTTAATAATTAGTTGTGATATAAGGGCCTGTGACTTTTGTAACGGGAGCGCACATACAGGTTCTTAGGCAAGTGATGAAACACACGTATCTTGAAAGAAAACAAGTCTGTATACGTTATTCATTCTGATGGTGTTGTTACCCGTAATATTAAATCAAGAAATAAATTTCC